GTAGGCTACTTACCTGGGCCAGATACACAACGCAGGCAATCAGCACAATCTTCAGCATGGTGAATCGTAGTAGAAGCAGCGAGAAATGAAGAAGTGTTACTAAATGTGATTTCTTATAAGCCTTCTTTTCAGGCTGCGCCCCTACATATTTTGAATGCCAGGGTATTCTCTGTCACGACGTTCCAATTATATTCACTCTCTGTGTTTCGATTAAAAAGAAGTTGCATATCAAGTAGGAGCCAACCTTTTGATGTTTGTTTGCGGGCGGGTTAATACAGGAAGGGAAGGTGGGTAAGAAGGTGGCTGGAATTGGGTGTGGGTGAGGTGAGGTGGTTGAGGGTGAGGTGGTTGTGGGTGAGGTAGATGAGGGTTAGGTGGTTGTGGGATGGGGAGGTTGGTGTTTGAGTGTGAGGTAGGTCGGAAGGTATGTATGAAAGAGAGTGAGTCGGATGGTAAAGTGTGAGGTGGTTTGGTGAGAAATGTGAGGTTTATGCAAAGTGTGAGGTGGATGGTGAAGTGTGAGATGGATGTGAAGTGTAGGGTCGATGGTGAAGTGTGGGGTAGATGGTGAAGTGTGAGGTAGATGGTGAAGTGTGGGGTGGATGGTGAAGTGTGAGGTGGATGTTGAAGTGTGAGATGGATGTGAAGTGTGGGGTGGATATTGAAGTGCGGAGTGGATAGTGAAGAGTGAGGTGGACAGTGAAGTCAGGGGTGGATAGTGAAGAGTGAGGTGGATGTTAGGTATGAGGTGGATCGTGAAGTATGGGGTGGATGTGAAGTGTGAGATAGATGGTGAAGTGTAGGGTGATGGTGAAGTGTGAGGTGGATGGTGAAGTGTGGGTTGGATAGTGAAGAGTGAGGTGGATAGTTAGGTGTGGGGTGGATGGTGAAGTGTGAGGTGGATGTGAAGTGTGAGGTAGATGGTGGAGTGTGGGGTAATGGTGAAGTGTGAGGTTGATGGTGAAGTGTGGGGTGGATAGTGAAGAATCAGGTGGATGGTGGGGTGATGGTAAAGTGTGAGATGGATGTGAAGTGTGAGGTAGATGGAGAAGTGTGGGTAGGTTGGTGAATTGTGAGATGGATGGTGAAAGGTGAGATGGATGTGAAGTGTGGGGTGGATAGTGAAGTGTAGGGTGGATAGTGAATAGTGAGGTTGATAGTGAAGTGTGGGGTGGATAGTGAAGAGTGGGGTGGATAGTGAAGAGTGAGGTGGATAGTGAAGAGTGGGGTGGATAGTGAAATGTGGGGTGGATAGTGAAGAGTGAGGTGGATAGTGAAGTGTGGGGTGGATAGTGAAGAGTAAGGTGGATACTGAAATGTGGGGTGGATAGTGAAGAGTGGGGTGGATAGTGAAATGTGAGGTGGATAGTGAAATGTGGGGTGGATAGTGAAGAGAGGGGTAGGCAGAGATGGCAGGTCAAAGGGGATGTGCTCAGGGTGTGTGGATGGAGTCATTTTAGCATGATGCAAACTGTTCCCGGAAATGTTAGAAAATGTTTTTCACTTCATATTTTATAGCAAATAAATGGTTCACAGGACAGGTTGTATGTCAAGAAAAGCATCCCGTTGTGGTATTCCACTCTTCCTTGTCAGATTAAACAGTTGTGCTTGTTGAAGCAATGTTACAACCCTTCATATAAAAATTACTCTTACGTGTTAACTCTTAATGTAAAAAAAATACATTGAGAGTATCAATCCGCAACCCTCAATGTAAAAGATATTTTTTTCAAGGCCGGGGCTGTTCTATAGCGAGTCAACAGGCAAAAGCAGATCTTACATTGCTTGGAATATAGAAGGTTGACCCAACAAACCGTCCGATATTGGCGTTGTTTCTTTTGTTTCTCAACACGAAATTGTTACTTTTTTATTGATGATAAACAATAGAAAATGAATTTAGTGACCTTTTGTTCAGAATATAAACTTTTGTGTTTACCAGCCACAAACTATCCCGGTTCGAGAGGTATTTGGGTGGAATACTGGATACGGAGAAAATGCTATTACCATCTGTTTGATAAAAGTATATTTTGTTTCAGTAGAGCTACATTATGTGTGTTTCCTACAAATATCTAACCGGAGAGACAGATCTGGTATGATAACAAAGATAGACAAAATGGGGTAGAGATTTTTGAGTACACTGGAAGAGTACCCAGCTGTTTTTATCATTGTACTTGGATTTGTTTCAGCCGCTTCTATGTTGAAGACACGCGTGATAACTATAGACGTTCATCGTGGTATGTAAAAAAAAATGAACGGTGCCATTATTTAAATACGTTCAGAAAAAACCTAAAGAGAACTCATACCTTACTAAGTATAACAAAGTTTGCCGTGAATACAGATCATAGTGTAGAATCAAGTAAAACCAGTATGCACAATGTAATTGGATCGACCTGGAAAATGCCCCAAATTGTATATTATGCACAGTTTAAAACATTCATTTCATGTGAGAACTATTTGAATAGTATAACTGTAAAACAATTCAGCCGAGTTTTCGGCTCATTTATCACAATTTAGAAATTGATCGTGGACGAAATTTCAATATTCCTTGTGAATTTGGAAAATTTAAAGTTTGCAAATTAAACTACATCGAAAGTGAATATAATTTTTTTGTTAATTTGTCAAGCTTATAGCCATCTTAGGCAAAGTTGCATAAAATATAAATTTCACATCTTTCCAAATATGATGAAGTTGAATACACTACTGTCATTGCAAGACCCTATTATCAATATGAATACAGCTAAGTACTTGTTTTACGCCAATGTTGTAAGAACACACATACTCCCAACTTTGATCATATGCATTTATGTTAAAACTGCTTTTTCCAAAAAAAAGAAGCAAAGCAATGTGTTGTATTTTATAATGTTTGCACATAAATTGTATTCCGTTTGTTCAAAAGGGCCCGTGGCCTACACGTACTGAATAAAGTGAAGACTATTTATTCGTAATAGAATATATTCTTCCTCCAACTTCGCGCGCGTTCTCGGGAACAACATATAGTAGTCGTGTAGTAGTAGTAGTAGTAGTAGTAGTAGTAGTACATAGTAGTAGTGTGTAAGCGCACTGCACCTTACGTATTCTAACAACCTCTCAACAACGACAACCTGGACGTTGTTTATGGTTTTATAAATGGTTTTCTTTATGGGTCATAACTGACATATCCGTTAGCCGATTTTCTTAAATCTTGGTACAAAGGTGTATCTAGGGACACTCTGCAATAAGACTTTGTTTACGTTATTACCTTACTTCCATGGCAACCGAAAGCGGCATTTGCAGAGCTGATTAATCGATATTAAGAGATTTCGTTCAAATTTGGTATTTAGGTACAATGTATTTCAGGACTCAACCGAATAGGTTTTCTTGCCATCATGGCAATGTTACCGAGGCATCTAATTGGTCGAAATTTAGTTGTTCGATTTCGTTAAAATAGATTCAGATATATTTGTGCACACAAAGCTCAGTTAATTACATAGCAGCGGAATAGAGTCCTCTGTTTGGTCGAAATCAAGTTTGTTAACCTTATTTAAGACGTTTTGCCCATACTAATAAGTGCTCTTTATGAAACTAGCTGTGGATTATCAGCACAACATCCAGTAATTTTACCTTATTCAGAAATCCAAGATGGCCTCACAGTTACCATTTTGTAATTTACAACTCTCAAACATCTAAATCTGTAGATATATATTTATGAAGTCCTTTTGAAAACCTCGTGAGTATCATTTCATTAGATTGTAACCCCACAACGAAGTTAGGGGGTATAATGGAATCAGCGCGTCCGCCTGTCTGTCGGTCTGTCCGCGGAAAATAACTTTCCGGACAATTCCTTCTAAACTAATTGACTGATTTCACTTAAACTTTGTACACGTGACCACGTCAACACGTAGCTGGGAACATTACAATTGCGTTTTCATTTTTAGTTATTGCCTTTTATAACTTGTCAGTTTGGGAGTTTGGTATTAGGATGGTAACGGAATTGATGTTACCTTGTAGAGTATCGAAAGAGGACCTTCGTACAACAGTAAGTTTGATAGAAATCGGTTAAAAGGGTTAGGGGTCATAAACCCTTTTATAAAACCTGCATATAGCAACCAGGTGGTCGTTATGGAAGGGAATCTAAAAATGATTAGTCATCTTGACAAAGTAATGATGAATTAAATCTGCGATTTTTCATGAATGTTCGATAAGTATTATTTCATAGTGATAACCCTTAATGTAAGAAAATAGTATCTGTCACTTCAACCCTTAATGTAAAAAAACACATTAACAGTATGTTTTACATAAAGAGTTGTAACGAGGGGTAACCCGCAACCCTTAATGTAAAATATGTTTACATTAAGAGTAATTTTACATTAAGAGTTGTAGCAATGCACACATAAATACTACAGTGGTATTCCAGCATTCCAGTTACTTACAGCTTGATGTAAGAGGAAAGTGAGTAGGTGAGTATGGTTTTAAGACGCTTTTACCAATATTCTGGCAACACCAGGGAGGGTAACACTTTGAATGGGTTTAAATATTGTACCAAGGTGGGGGATCGAACCCAGGGATTGGACATGACGAGCGAACGCTTAATCTACAAGGCTACCCGACCGACTCTTGAAGACAGAAATAATGCAGGTCAAAGACGATCACCACCTTGGTGAAACCCAAGGACGAGGTATGGTGCTGACTAATCAAGAACATATTCAGCACGAATCTTGGATTCGAACCCATGATTAAAGGTTTCTTGCCGACAATAGGAATCTGCACAGCGAACTGCGGCGCCGGGGATTATATGTATTTGCCGCTTCCGTTTTGTCATGAGATACAGCTGAGGCTTTGATATTGTAATCAGGCAATAGTTGAAAGGAAGAATGACATCCCCGATAATATGTTAAAATATGAAAATATGAAATTAAACGATAATTTGTTATCACAACCAGTTGGAAGTTCACATGACGAATGTCGACCATGACAGTTCAAGGGACTTAACGAACCTCATGGTAAAGTATGTAACCATTGAAAGCTGATAAAGAACTTCTTTTATTGATGAATGACAATACATGGAATATATATGTGATGCATTAGGCTGCAACCTGCACCATGATCCTGTTATGACAATGTCGTGTGACCCAATGGTCCGGGCTTTGGGTTCCTGTCAGAACAGTCTGCTTCGTGGTGTCGGAGGCGAGGGCAGTGAGTTGAAACTGTAAAAGTGGAATAAGTAATAATCGTATATGCCAATACATCACTTAGTAGAAAGGCCGACCGTATGAATGTAACTGTACACTACATACCTCTTAGTTTAAATGGTTGGTTAATTGTGTTGGTAATTGACTACATACCTATCAGTTTTATCGGTTGGTTTGTGTTTTATTTAATTGACTACATACCTCTTAGTTTAATTGCTTGGTTTGTGTTTAAGTTTATTGTGTGTGTTTCTGAAATAAATTGCATCTTGTCTTATTAACCGTTGTTCTTATTCTAATAGGTTATTGGCAGCCATTGTAAGATGCCTTGATGCGTAGGTGATCGATAGATCTATGTTTCCATACACAAGTGTTTTTGTTAAAAGGCATGTTAATTTTGAAGTATCGAATTGAATTAGATACCTGATTTTAAGACTTAATTAATTATGTTCCATTTTTATGATATAGTGTTTGTTTCCTTGTTATTTAACGCTTCAATCGTCAACATTCCAGCTACATTCCATTTGTAAATAATCTTGTACTGACCAGACAGTTCAGTGACTGGCATCATGTGCATGAATCTACGCTGTTTGGATACGATGACATGGATGTTGCATGTGTGTAGCAGAGATCTGTTACACTATTTGGATACGATGACATGGATGTTGCATGTGTGTAGCAGAGATCTGTTACACTATTTGGATGCGATGACATGGATGTTGCATGTGTGTAGCAGAGACCTGTTACACTATTTGGATACGATGACATGGATGTTGCATGTGTGTAGCAGAGATCTGTTACACTATTTGGATACGATGACATGGATGTTGCATGTGTGTAGCAGAGATCTGTTACACTATTTGGATGCGATGACATGGATGTTGCATGTGTGTAGCAGAGACCTGTTACACTATTTGGATACGATGACATGGATGTTGCATGTGTGTAGCAGAGATCTGTTACACTATTTGGATACGATGACATGGATGTTGCATGTGTGTAGCAGAGATCTGTTACACTATTTGGATGCGATGACATGGATGTTGCATGTGTGTAGCAGAGATCTGTTACACTATTTGGATGCGATAACATGGATGTTGCAAGTGTGTAGCAGAGATCTGTTACACTATTTGGATACGATGACATGGATGTTGCATGTGTGTAGCAGAGATCTGTTACACTATTTTATGCATCATCTACTCAGACTGATTGGGTGTATGTCAATATGTCTGATCTTTCTACTAGATAGACGATGTAATGTTGGTGATAGTTTTGATGCCTTGCATTCTATTTATTCAAAATCAGAGTTGTATTTGGTTAAATTGATTAAGTTATGCAACGTATAGCAAGCCTCATCACTGACTTTGCAATCAAGAATTATTTCACGAATTTCCACCGGAGTTCACGATTAGTGTATTTTGAATGAATAAACGCAACATGGAAGTCGATGGACGTCAGAGTTAACGATTCAAAAGTATCTCTGACCTAAAAGTACACTGGATGTCCCCCCACTCAACAACACTCATAACGGAGAGTCACGGCAACAAACATACTTATACAATTTCACTGTAATATCTGGCTTATGTTACCCCAATTGGCAAACGCCAACTGTATATATTACCTCAAGTGTCTCTATCTTAGCAGGGTCATGGATGTCCATCTTCTGGGCGTCGGACAGTGCCCACAGGTAGCAGTGAGTCTTGGAGATCATCACCATTTCACCCTGCGTCATACGGGCGGGCAATGAGACGGCAATAATCGAGGGTATAATTTCTCGAATATTCTTGCCGCATAATGTATGACTTATATTTTATCGTATTGTTAGCAATTAGTAATTTATGGTCTATTATAAGCCTTTAGTTTGTCGTATCCGTGGGCTATTATATAAATATGAAGTTACGTTATTAAATACCAATATATCTATAAGATTGATAACAGGAATGCGCTCCAACACAAACCTACAACGTGTTGATATGAACTACATACTATGTTCTTGTCGTAGGCGAAGGAGAATGCCCCATGTGGAGGAGGTGTGGCGTGGGTGTGGACCGCGTGGGTGTGGACCGCGTGGGTGTGGTGAGGATGGTGAGTTGCTTTGGGAGCAAGGGTTGTCTGGGCCTGAAATATAATGCGTCAAAAGTATTGTAGAAAACGAAAAGATACTTCACTGATCATATGTACTGTAGTGAGTCGGGTTGCACATCGCTGTTAACAGTATTCCACCTATACCTCTGCGTGTCAGCTTACTGTAGAAGGAAAACCACAGGTCTCAGACGTTTACCACTTTGGTGAAATCCAAAAGCACGGGTATGGTGCTGAGAAACATCGAAACATCAGGGCGACCCGGGATTCGAACCCACATTCATACGTTTCTGGCGTACCCAAGCTTAAGGGACGCAACTCTGCACAGCTAAATGCGGCGCTTGAGACGACTGGGCCACCCATGCCCCATATGTAGTTGTACAAGCTGAATTAAAAAATATATATATGGGGTTTAACGTCGCGTCCAAGATTATTGCACTTATATAACTGTTACGTTTCACATGTCACGTGTACCTTTTCCATTCTACATACTGCACATCGAAATACATCGGGTAAAGAGACGAAACACTGTACACCACCACTGTGACTTCCAACCGCCATGATAGATGGTTGTAAGTCATCGTTCCCGATCCTAAGCAATCCAGAAATCTTCCTACGTTTGCACATTAGAGTGAATGAATGGTGTTTAAAGCTGCAGTCAACAGTGCCCTAATAGTGATTGAGTGAGTGAGTTAAGATTTATAGTCACATCGGCAATATTTCAGCCATATCGTGACTAAATCAAGTTGTACAGTAATAATACATAACTATAACCTATAAAATCTGTCGGCAAAGGACAGTAAAATAACTAGAATATCACAGCTATAAATATAAAACTAGTAAGTAACTATAAAATTTGGACTAATCAATACAATACAATATAAGAGTTGGCTAGAGATCACCAGCAACCAAAGTTAGGCCACCACACAAGGGAAGTGCCCTAATAAAATGTATAGGAAATAACATGTGCAGGCTACTTACCTGGGCCAGATACACAACGCAGGCAATCAGCACAATCTTCAGCATGGTGAATGTGAGTAGCAGCAGCGAGAAGCGAAGAAGTGCCACTTGTTGGGATCTTTTTATACGTGTTCTTATCAGGCTGCGCTCCCTTCATATTTTAAATGCCAAAGTATTCTCTGTCACGACTTTCTAAATATATTCTATCTCTGTTTTTCGATTAGAAAGATGTTTCATACCACGTTGATAAAATTACACGGAGGAGCCAAACATGTTTTGCGGGCAGGTTTTCTACGGGAGGGGAAGGTGGGTAAGAAGGTGGCTGAATGTGGGTGAGGGTGAGGTGAGGAGGGTGAGGGTGAGGTGGTTGGGGATGGGTGAGGTGAAATGGGGTTTAATGTCGCGTCCACGATTATTGCAGTTAATTTGCTACGTGCATGCACGTGTGTATGTGTGGCTGCTTGTGCTGGTCCGGATTGATTCCGATTTATAGTGCTAGCCCCCTGAGGTACCATGCCGCAGTTTAACATGAATACCCCACTCAGACACAGTATACTGACTCCGAGCCGAGCAGTCCTTGTTTTAGCCCCTTAATGCTGAGCGCCAGACAGGGTTACAGCAAGTACCATTTTTTAAGGTCTTTTGGTATGACGCAGCCGGGGATAAGACCTTCCGCTCTCTGGTCAGACCGTCTACCACTAGGCCACGGAGGCGGTCCCGGTTGGGGGATGGGAAAGTTGTTTTTTGAATATTTTTTGAGAGTTGGTTGGGATGGGAGGTAGATGGTGAAGGGCGAGGTGGGAGGGCAATAGGGAGATGGGTGGTGGGTGTGGTTGGTTGGTTGGTTGGTTTGTTGTTAACGCCGTAATCAGCAATATTCCAGCTATATGACGGCGGTATGTAAATAATAGAGTCTGGACCAGACAATCCAGTGATTAATATCATGAGCATCGATCCACACAATTGGGATCGATGACATGGATCCCGTTAGTCGCCTTTTACGACAAGCATAGTCACCTTTTACGGCAAGCATGGGTTGCTGAAGACCTATTCTACATCGGAATCTTCACGGGTCGTGGTGGGTGTGGATGGAGGCAATTAAACATAATTCAATCTGTTCCCGTAAATGCCAGAAAATGTTTTTGACCTCATATTTAATAACACATAAATGGTTAACAGGGCAGGTTGGATGTCATAAAAAGCATCCCGTTGTGGTCCTTGGGTCCTCCTTGTCAGATTAAACAGATGTATATGTTGAAGCAGTGCACAAACAAACCACAACCAGCCCCTCGACATTGATGATTGCACTATGTATGGCACCATGTAAGTACAGTGTATACAATCTCAACAGTACACAGTTATCTATACAAGTATATCATGCACGAGAGTCGGTATGTGTTCTTTCACAGACTGACATGCAGTGATTACATGTCAACGCCAATGCAAGGTTAACTGTAACTTAGCTCGACAAAGGCCGTTACAGAAAATAGAACCAGGGCAGTCAACATGCTGTGTTCTGTGAGTAAGGTCAGCATACCTGAACGCGAGGTGTGTCCACGTACGATGCTGTTTTGTTTTATTAACAAGCTTCCAAACACCTACTTAAATAGGTAAAGAGTATTATTCACAGTATATAGCTTTGAGTATGATTAACTGTCCCCTAATTACCTACTGGCAAAACTAAATTCGACCAATCACACAGTAACAGGACGACCAGTCAAGGTCTGAGGAGTCCTTGCGATAGCTACACGAGGTAGCGATGAGCTGCTTTTATTTTAAATAACCGTCTGCAATCTTGGGCTGAAAGCACAGGAGCTCTAAATGATGCACAAAATGGGTTCCGGAAGCTTAGATCAACTACGGATAATATTCACTCTGTTTGTTCTTTTATTGAAACTAGAAAATGTATTAAAAAAGACACTTTTTCTGCTTTTATTGACTTTCGTAAAGCGTATGATAGCATTAACAGAGGTGTGCTGTGGGAGAAATTATGTAATATTTTTGTGAAAGGGAAACTGTTTCTATCACTTCAATCTTTGTATGATAATGTGAAATGCAGCGTACGTATAAATGGTATGCTTACACCCTAGTTTAATGTTAATCGGGGTTTAAAACAAGGATGTTTACTCTCGCCAATTCTGTTTAACTTTTTTATTAATGATTTGCTTGACAAGCTAAATGAAACTGGTATTGGTATTTGTGTTGATGACATTACTATTGCAGCCTTAGCATATGCTCATGATCTTATTTTACTTTCAGAATCGGCAGATGATTTGAATCGTCTATTACATGTTATGAATACATGGTGTGTTGATAATAGTATCCTTATGATAATGACAAGTCCAAGATTGTACACTTTAGGAATATAAGCGTTCCAAGAACAACAGCTTTTTTAATATTGGTAACTCTGTTTTGGACATTGTTGATTGTTATAATTATCTAGGCCTACTGCTCACGGAACATCTTTACTACAATGCAGCTAAAATATAGGTATCAAAGGACTGGATATAAGCTACCCAAAGGTACCATTAAATATTTACAACCCGGTATGTACAATTTGTAAGGTGGCAAACAAGACTATCAATACATGGTAACTATCTACATTCTACTCAATATTCGCGCTATTATCTGAAAAGCAAAGTTACTAAAACATTTTCAACATGTGAATATGCTTGCACACACGTAGGAAACAACATATACCATGAAAAGAGCATAGGAAATAAATGCTAGAGAATGAAATTAAAAGACAACAAGTTCTCCAGCGCTAGTCTGACGAACACAAAGTCTAAGATCTGAAGCCCAATGACCTGGCCCTGGTTGTTGGTGTTGATGAAGCACAGAAATCTGAAAGGTTCGTGTAGTTACTGTTTTCAAGAATGCTTGCTGTGCCTGTTATAAGTGCGAGACGAGATCGATTCGAGGCCATCATGCGTTCCATCAACGAACAGGATACCCATCGAAAAACAGCGACAGTGATGAGACGGGAGGCCCTCAAATCACTGGACCGTGACCAGCATTGTTTAACAGAAACACATGTGATGTCTCCTTAGGCGTTTGACCCGTGAAGATTCCGGGATAGATTAGGTCTTCAGCAACCCATACTTGCCGTAAAAGGCGACTGTGCTTGTTGTAAAAGGCGACTAACGGGATCGGGTGGTCAGGCTCGCTGACTTGGTTGATGTCAATCACTGGATTGTCTGGTCCAGACTCGATTATTTTACAGACCGCCGTCATATAGCTGGAATATTGCTGAGTGCGGCGTTAAACAACAAACAAACAAATCCTTAGGCGTTTGGCTTAGTTCGAAATATGCCTCTGTATACCTGGTAGGATGAGATGTGACTGTTAACCTTTTGTTTATGTTTTAGGGTGTGCATTTGGGGCATGATATATATGCACTCTATTTATTATCTGTTTAGTACTGTGTAGCATTTGTTAAGTATATTTCTGACCATTTCTGTAGAAGAAAATTTGAAGCACCCGTAACATACTTTGAACATGGTAGTGACCTTGACATAGAGTGACTTTGGTTGTTGGTGTTGATGAAGCGCAGAAATTTGAAAGGTTCGCGTAGTTACTGTTTTCTGGAATGTTTGCTGTGCCTGTTATAAGTTCGAGACGAGTTCGATTCGAGGCCTTGCTGTGTTACATCCACGGACAGGACACCTACCGGGAAACACCAACATTTCTGCCTATTGCGAACCCTAATTCCTAAATTTTAGTCGCACTTCGTGCCTCATTCAAGCTTTTAAAGTATGCAATTACTGACATTCGTAGGTGCATAGGACATAGGACCTACAACTAATATACAACATCTGTTCATATTTTCCCCATTGTATCGCCTTATACGAGTGTGAACCTTATTCTCTGTATTGTTTGTCTATTGTTTATTGATCTTTTGTGGTTGTACACTGATTTCACAATCTGGTTCTGTCCGTCCCGGCCTCTACACTCCAGTGAAAAGACAACTTTACTATCATCCATGTGGGGAATTGAACCCAGGACTTCGGCATGACGAGCGAACGTTTAACTACAAGGCTATCCGACCGCCTGTACAAGACAGAAGTGATGCAGGTCAAAGACGATCACCACCTTGGTAAAACATAAGGACGAGGTATGGTGCTGACAAATCTAAAATACAGTCAGGACGAATTTTGAATTCGAACCCATGATCAAAGGTTTCTTACCTTCCAACAGGACGCGGCTATGCACAACAAACTGCGTCACCGGGGATTATAGTGTATGTATTTGTCGCTTCCGTTTTGTCTTTTTATGTGTGACAGAGATATGAGACATGAGTTACACCTAAAGCCCCTATCTCACATGCACGGTTTAAGAAATTGCGAACACGATTTGAGAAAAGTTGAAAAATCGTGTTAATTCGTGCTCGACCTTGTGGTTATACAAATTTCTTAACCAAACACGACCTTCATACGATCCTCATACGACCCTCATACGACCTTCATACGACTGAACACGACTTTTCAGCTCGGCTTAAATCGTGTTATAAATTTTTGCAATTTAAGCCGAGCTGCAACGTCCATACGACCGCGCGCGACCGACCACGACTTAACACGAATGAACACGAATGAGTGCGCGTTTAATCGTGTTCATTCGTCATCAGATTCGTGAATGTGAGATAGGGGCTTAAGGCTTTGATATTGTAATCAGGCAAAAGTTGAAAGGAAGAATGACATCCCCGATAATATGTCTAAAACGCTGGACAAATTGTACGAACTTAGTTCATATAAACTTTGTTAAAACAACAAGTAGGAAATTCAGTTGAAGAGATTATGTAATGGTAACTATGTAACCATTCGAAGTTAAGGAAGAACTTATTTATTGATGAATGGCATAAAACAACCACACATAACATATATATGTGATGCATTAGGCTGCAACCTGCACCACGATCTTGTTATGACAATGTCCTGTGATCCAATTGCCTGGGCTTTGGGTTCCTGTCAGGACTGTCTGCTTCGTGGTGTCGGATGCAAGAGCAACAAGTTGGAACTAAACAAAAATGAATGAGGAATTAGTGTAAGTACCTTCACATCAATTAGGAGATAAACCGATTCTGTTTTGAAATTAAGTGTAGACACGATAGTCTAAGTTTTATTTAGATCCGAGTGTTATACCGCGAGGTTTTTTAAATCTATAACAGGTTAATTACAGTAGATTTATCTCCATTCTACAATGACGAGCGCTTTGAAAACCGTGACTACATACACATGGGCAAATAGGCTTGACATCTCAGAACGTGTCACAAATGGGGCACACAATTATTACCTAAGTTCAAGAACGGTCGCTTAATAATATATTGTTAACAAATTCTACATATTGGTTACAACATACATAGTTTTTTAAATGAAACTGATGGAAAAATAAATATATATTTCATTTCAGCGCAACTTGCTGCACATTTGCCCTGCTTGGACTCAACCAAGTCATTTCTTGAGAATAAACATGAAATCTTACATTGTATGGATGACAGATTATAGAAAAAGTGACTAAAAACGCAGCACCAATGTTGTTTTCTGAAAACAAGTTAAATCACAGTGTGCTCCCTAAGTAACAGTTATGATAACATGCTGACACAGTTCACCAATAACCTGATGATCCTCTTGTTAGATGATCCTGCTGGCACAATCTCATTGCCAAGGGAACCACCCTTTTTGCCGAAGTTTCAAGTTGGCAATGTACGACAAGAAAGGCTGGGAGACTCCTAATGTTTGTGATCGATGATTGTATGAGTCAGACACAGTGATTAGTGTGTGTATATATAATTGTGTGTGTTCTGAAATTGATTTCATCATGTTTGAGAAAATGTTGTTCTGATTGTAGTCGGTTATCGACAGCCATAGGTTATGGACATGTCGATGTTTTCATATGCTTTCTGTTTGTTTGTTGTTTAACGCCGCACTAAGCAATATTCCAAGTATATGACGACGGTCTGTAAAACTAATCGAATCTGGACCAGACAATCCAGTGATTGACATCATGAGCATCGATCTACGCAATTGGGATACGATGACATACATGAATCAAGTCAGCAAGCCTAACCACCTGATCCGGTTAGCCGGCTTTGACGGCAACATGGATTGCTGAGAACCTATTCTATCCCCGGATCGTCACGGCTCGTTTGCATATGCAAAGGTTTTGTGTGAAAAGGCACGTCATTTGTGAGGTGTCGAATTGAATTAGATGTCTGATTTTAACATTATTTTTACCAAACAAAATTGTGCATGTTTGTTTGGTGTGTAACGTCTCACTAAGCAATATTCCAGCTATATGACGGCAGTGTGTAAAGAATCGAGTCTGGACAAGACAATCCAGTGATAAGCATCATGAGCATCGATCTACGCAATTAGGATACGATGACATTTATGTTTACCTTAGAAGTATGACACTGTTTCTTCATTTGATTGTGTGACGCCAAAGCTAACAATTCAACAGTACCTTTGATCTTAAAGTATGTTGGACTTGATTTTCACCACTCCACAACACTCAATTATGGAGTGTGGTTGCAACAAGCATACTGATATAAGTTCACCGTCATATCCAGGCTAATGTCTGTGTAACAATCTAAAGCAACGATCACCCCATCAAGCAAACGTCAACTACATTACCTCAAGTGCCTCAATCTTAACAGGGTCGTGAAGGTTCATCTTCTGGGCGTCGGAAAGTGCCATTAGATAACAGTGAGATTGGGATACCATCACCATCTCGCCCTGCGTTAAGAAGTTGATACATATGAATCAGGTGACATGGCGTATCATATTAGGCAAGACATATATGTATCATCCATGCTTTTTAAGAAACGTGTGACTGCATCAGCAAAAAGCAAAAAGCAAAAAGGTAGTAAGTTGATATCACTGAATTTTCATTCCCATGAATAAAAGAAACGTCAACGCAGGAATAATCTAGTCCTAATTACCGCCGAACAGAAGAAAGAAGACAATTAAATGATGAAGCATATTTCCCAGTAACACGATAGTGCATTAACTGATTTTGTTCAAAGAAAAACTATATTGTTTTATATTAATTACGTCTGCTGCGCAAAGAACCTACTGCTATACAGTAGAGAAAAAAAACGTTGAAGAAACATGTTCGTTTAAATATATGTTCATTTTAAAAACGAGAACGATATTTTACAATACAACACTTACAGCATCTCTTTCGTAGTGGAAGCCAAACACCCCGTGGGGGGGAGGTGATCCTTGGTGGTTGGGCGGATGGGTAGGGTGGGTAGGGTGAGTATGGTCGGTATTCTGGGCCTGGAAACATAATGTGTAACAGTTTGAAACAATAAAAGGATGCTTTCCTACCCATTTGCATTGGTTCGAATCTGAATAGGACACCATACATATCAACTGGATCCCCTCAATTCTACATCATGTAATCTAGTCAAAAAAGGAAACTGTTGTAGCGATACGAAACTATGTACAGCGCCTACCATGCAAGGTGGACGAACATCACTTAGCCAATCCTGCCCTTAAGCAATACGGAACCGAGAATCACATTCTTAACACATTGTGTACGGATGGACAATGTTTAGGAAATTAGATTGGGAGAATTTTGGTAACTCAGAATGTATAGAATGTATTTACCTGGGCCAGGTACAGAACGGATGCAATCAGTACAATCTTCAGCATGGTGAATGTGAGAGGCAGCAGCGTCATGACAAGTCTCACTTGGGAGGACCTTTTATGCTTGTTCTTATCTAGTTGCAATCTGTTCTCTACAAATTTGGAATCTCGTGCTCACTTCTATCACGACATTCTAAAAATATGCAATCTCTGTTTGTTGGATTAAACCAGATGTTTTAAAGCACATTTTCTTCAAACTACATGCATTTGTCATTTTGAAATAACACTCCTATTGAGCAGCCAAGCGGCGGAAGCGATTGGTACACTTACATGTACATTGTAAGATGCACAAAGACATATCGCGGATGCAGGAAGGGGTTATCGGAGCTGCGTATCGTATGATACACAACAGAAGAGGTATCATCGTTGTCCCGCGCTTGTCTCACCCTCGGTTGGCGTACATCGAGCACCTGCCACCGTACTTCATCTAAACTAGTGTCCAAAAGAAATGATACCACCTGTTTGCAACGACATAAAAGAAAAACTAAACAATGCAGAAGTTTAGGATTGGTGTTATGCTTTTGAGAAATCCTTTCACAACATCTGTACAAAAATTTCATTTCAATAAAATCTGTACAACCAATATGACAAGCCTTTAAAGATGGGTGGGGTCGAAAAATGAACATTTCGTTAGAGCACTGATCACAGAAACAACGGGAAATGTCACACCACACGTCTCAAAGTCAAGTCAGTAGCGGGTATGTCCACCGTGAGCATCGATACATGCCAGAACAAGCCTACGGACTGATGACGTCAAACGTCTGATGACGTTGGGAGTGATGCGTTGCCATTCCTCGAGGGGACATCGTTCCAAGTCCTGGACGTTGACTGGAGGCACGCGGCGACGTCGGATTTGCCGATCGAGGTGGTCCCATAAGTGCTCGATGGGATTCATGTCCGGTGAACATGCGGGCCATGGCAAAACCTGTACGTTGGCGTTGGCAAGGAAGTTCTGTGTCAATCTTGCTGTGTGTGGCCTTGCATTGTCATGTTGGAAAATGAGTCCACGAGGCTGTTGCTGAATAAAAGGCACAACAACAGGCCGTAGGATGTCATCAAGATAACGTTGTGCATTCAGGTTTCCACGAATTACGACAAGCATCGTTTTGACGTCACCACATATGCCACCCCAAACCATTAACCCTCCACCTCCAAACGGCCGGACCTGTTGGATACAGTTAGGCGCCAAACGTTCACCAAATCGTCGGTATACAAGCTGCCGTCCATCGTTTCTGAAGATGAGGAATCTGCTCTCATCAGAGAACATAACACGTGCCCAGTCCCGCCGTTGCCAACGTCGAACTCGCCTGGCCCAGATCAGTCTGTTGTTCCGGTGTCGAGGCGTCAGGAGCGGTCCGCGGTAGGGATGACGTGGCCGGATACCATACTGCCGTAGTCTCCTGTAGACGGTCTGTCGACTGATCCTGTGTCCCAGTGCTGTAGCCGCCGTGGACGTCGCTGTTACGGTGCGGTTCCTCAGGTGTAATACCCGGATGTAACGATCTTCACGGGGCGTGGTTACTCGTGGTCTTCCACTCCTGGGCCTGTCTGACGTCTGACCTGTCTGACGTAACCGCTGCATCAACCTGGTGATAGTGATGCGTGCGCAGCCCAACCTTCTGGCGACGTCGACGTGTGACGCTCCCAGTTGGACCATTCCAACGGCTCTCTCTCTCTCGATGGCTGTCTTTTTGTTGCTGTGATATCAACGTGTCTGATCAGCCGTTTTATACAGTTTTTCTGCATGTGCAGAACATGCTAGAGAGGGAAATGTCACTTTCACGAAATTTACGTTTTTTCCCGGAAGTGATCACGTGTTCCCGGTATTTTTTATCGACTATGCTGTGTTTGGGATGTGCAATACAAATTGGCATGTTTTCATACTTCACAATTCACTTAGTAAAAAACAATTTTGAAAATAAGTTTGTATCGTTTCTTTTGGACACTAGTTTATATGATGTTATCGAATCTGAGGCAAATACATCAGTGGTTGACATCAAGAGCAACGCCCCGAGTATCGAAGTACGATGACATACAATCATCCAACTCACGGAATCTGACCACTTACGAGAAGCAAATTAGAATGCTGCCGATGACTTAGTCTACACATAAACACACGAAGTAACAAATATTGATGAAATTATTCTATGCCTTTACGATTGTGCCACTTTCCCTTAAAATGTACAACATTATAACACCTCTTTGTGAGTCTTGCTTCTAACCTACGTGGCATAGGTCATTGATGGGGGTTTCACATACACGAGGAAATGGTCATTGTAAGACAAAATGACAAATAGGCTGTCAAGATGAGGGTTTCTCAAACATTAGGCAGCCAGATTACTGTTTTACTCTCATATTTTCGCATCTCAAGATCATTCCTATGCACTGTCTCCTATTCTGTTAGAATGAAAACTCTTCCCTAAATTTGAAAAGAATCCATGTTGTAGTTTTCAAGTATTAGGTTGCTCAAATGTTTAAGTAAAAACATACACAGTAGAAAACATAGCTGTAGTTTTTTAGAAAATACAAATATTGAAATCAAACTCTACACTGCATCTCTCCTGTTGGTATATGAAGTATTCACCAGGAAGCTATGCAATAGTTTTCAAGTTATAACAATGTCTGACGAAACAACAACTCTCACAGTTTTAATATAGAAATACATTCACCATTACTGATGCACAGATTCACTTTTTTCTCCGCCCGAAAAATAGGTATCCCCATTGATCCTGAATTACCCATCCTCTGAGCAGAAAGTGTTATTTCCATCTTCGAGCAACAGGAAACATCAGGCACCTCATCACCACGGACGCTGCCCAAGTAGTCGCCCGGTCTCGTTGGTGCTAGACTAGACTACTGTAATAGCATTGTGTCCAGGCTCACGCAGAAGCTCCTTTAAAGCAATGTCTAGACTAGAACTGCTCGTATTGTCAGTCCTTCATCAAAAGGTATGCACATTACACCGGCCCTCAAATAGCGCCACTGGCTAGCCATTACAATAATGCAAAACAAGGACCGCCCATTCTATTATGGGCCAATCAGAAAACAATAGTCCATAAGTTGAAGTGACCTATCTTATTCGGCCTCAAACAATTGATTGGGTAGTCAATCATATGCAAACGCTTGCGAAAACCAAAACTTTCACTTTATTTATTTATCGACAGTGTTTCGAGGTGATTTCTAAATTTTCAAAAATTGAACTTACAAGGCTTCCGAAGGAGTCTTCCTTTAAAAACGTAAAGAGGTTTAGAGATTATGTTCTTAGTAAACCACCGCCGACTGTATTCTGTTTAACTAACCGACATCATATCAAAGAGTATTGATCAAATACGTAATAGGTTTATATGAGGGGATGACTAGACATTAGTTTTTGATTTTATGATCATGATTGCTCATGTTCGTGTGATTGATGAATGTAAATATGTTGTAGCCCGAAGAAAGTTGTGTCTCATGCTGCTTCGAATTACACCAGGACGAAAAGTAGGCTAGTATTGCATTTCTATGAACACAGTTCACGGGTGCTGCCATGTTTTATCAGGAGGTAACTAGTGAGTGAGTTCAGATTTTAAGTCACATCGGCAATATTTCAGCCATATCGTAATAAATACATGTAAACTATATAAACGTGTCAACAAGGGACAGTAAATTAACCAGACCTATCACAGATTCTAATTTAAAACTAGCATGGAACCATAAAAATACATCACCAGACAGAACAATACATTATAAAAGCTGGGGACCATGGGGACTTACAGTACCTTTGCTACCTGCATGGACCCCAGAATGATTTACATCATCCCTTCAGTTGTTGGCGACGATAAGGGAATTAAGCCGAATTTAAAAGAACACATATTCTACGATTAAAACTATGATAGGAATAACGGACTTCGAATTATATGGACTTACTATGCCCTCTCAGGGGGACAATAATTTTCCGGTACTTAAACCCCAGTCAAGGGCACAGCCAATAACAATCTCAGTTCACAATTAGACACTATCAGATGAAGAAACAACTATGTACATCACAATTCATTTATAAGTTCAATTTCTTTTAAAAATGCATTAATTAAATGGGAACTAATATTGGTAAAAAGATCCTTAATAAGAAGAGATGATGATTTGAAATAGTTATCCCTCGTGATGGAAAAATCAACACAGTCAAGCAGGACATGCTTGACTGAGATTCTTTCATCACTAGGGATACAAAACGGAGGATCCTCACCTTTAAGTAAATATTTATTTGTGTATCTGCTGTGGCCAATGCGACATCGTCGTACAATGACCTCAAATCTGGACTGACAACCCAAGCAGGTGTAACCGATGGTTGGTTTTATAGCATGTAATTTATTAATACCTACTTGGATGTCCCACTTCTTCTGTATTATATCTCTGATGTAATATCTTATTACAGGTTTATAATCCCTGTATGGAAGCAGAAGTGGTGTCACAGATTTGTTGAGTGCTGCTTTAGCTGCAGCATCAGCCACTGTATTACCAGTGATTCCAACATGGCTCGGTAACCAGCAAAAAATGATGTCGTATTGGCCCCTAGCAAGATCGTTAAACAATTCAACAATTTTGATTAAAAGTGGATGTGTACAAGATAGATTTTTAATTGCCTGAAGGCAAGAAAGTGAGTCTGAAAATATAATAATTTGTTCATGCTTTGATGTTTGTTTATATATTAAAGTGCAGTTAATATGGCCTTAGCTTCGGCCGTAAAAATGGGGCAGTTGTCTAGTAGCCGTTGCGATATAGTCCTGGACCCGGTGACAGTGGCGCTGGCTACAGCATCACCACCCTTGGATCCATCTGTAAATATGGATTTATAGGTATTGTATAACGATCTTAGGTGATTGGATTCTTGTTGATAAATTAGTTCATTTGTATGAATTTCTTTTCAATTTAATTTGAGGTTAGGTCCACCTCAGGTCTAACAACCTGCCATGATGGAGAAGATAAAAGCTGAGTTGGGGTTATATTATCAAGATGTATTTTAGCAGCAGAAATATGATATTGTAACCTCATCCAAGTGGTGGAATAAGACATGACTTTGTTGAAGAGTTCCTCATAAAGAGGATGAAAAACACAATCAAAAGCTGGAT